CCGCGGCCGGTCTCTGTTTGAAAAACAGAAGCGAAGCCGCGGCACGTTGCGCTCATCGATACACTTCGTCCGCGAGATAAACGCGTCGGTATTATCATCGAGAGAAGAGTTACGCCTACCTAGAAAATTCCCACCGGACGATTTCGACGATGGGAGGCCGCGGATTTTCATTTATCGCGACGATCGATTTTCCGGCGGCCAACGGGGACGCGACCGATCGTTCGAAACGCATTGGCTGCCCGTGATCGCGAGCAATCGATGGTTACTTGCTTCGAGGATCTAATTTATAAAGCACAGGCCGTCTCTCGGTAAGATAATCGGACACGGGGATGCGTCCGAATCCGAGCAATTTTCCATTTCGAAGGAAAATCCGATCGCCGCGGTATCGACGGATCTCGTATCGACGTTTATCGGAGGCCCGTATCGTTATCGAATTCAAAAGCAAAACAGACAGCCTGCTCGGCGTTGTCGGACCTTATCCCCCGACGGGATTCCATAGGGCGTCGCTCGAATCCTGACACGGCACGGAGCGAAGCTAGTTTCTCGTAAAATGTCTCGCCGCGGCGATCGCGGTACTTCTCGGTTCGTACCATCGACGAAATATAATGAATATCGCATTGTCGCGTATCTCGGACGCGGCTCGAATTATTCAGCTCTCCGAGGATATATCGGAAAATCACGTTCCTCGTTGCCTTTTACGTCATCGGCTTCGCTCCCGTCCCTTTGCAGGAAATGACGCGCGCAAACAGAATAACAAAACGGAGCGAACGCTGAACGTTGGCCGCCGATATTGCCTCACACCGTCGTCGAACGTTTCCAGTCACGGAAGCCGTAACATTTGGCCGGACATCGAGACGGAAAAATTGATCGAGGAACAAACGATTTCATCCGGGTTAACAACGATTCGCTTCTACGTGTCGGCTGGAATCGCGAAACGTAGGTCAATTCCCAAGTTCAGATGAAAAGTTGCGTCACGCGGAGTGCGTGGGTGTCGCGGAGCACCGAGGCCGATAAAAGGGAACTTCGGAGAGAACGAGAGAGAGAGAGAGAGAGAGAGAGAGAGAGAGAGAGAGAGAGAGACGAATCGATACGAGCCTCCGACGACGCGCCCAGATCGGTCTCGCGCGTTTGCGAAACCGCTGCGGAGCGCCGAGTACAGTAATGTCTCTCTAATCGACGCACGGATCGTCCAGAAAAATGGACAATTTAGGGAGATCCGGTTCATTTTTATAGTCACGAATCGTCGACAAGTATCCCAAATTGTCCATTTTTCTGCAGAATCCGAGCGTCGGTCAGGGAGACGTTACTGCACACCGAGCTCCGGGTGCGAAGAACCGAGCCAGTCGAACCAACGATTTACGAATACAACAGGTGTGATAACGCTTACCGGTCTTCATTGATAGCCGCGCGAGACCGCTGCACTAGCTGAATGAGAGACTTATCGATCGGCGCTCGATCGAGATGCAATCGGGTCGGACAGCTTTCGGTATCGCTGATTCCAAGGCTCCGTGAACCGTTGATAGCGAAATCGCTATCGCGATTGCTTCAACCATTGAGAAACACCAAAGGGGGAAAAAAGTTCGAGTGTCTAACGGCTCCGTCGGTTTTAATTGTCCGCAACCTACTTAACGATCGTATTAAACTTCCTGCTATACCACCGCAACGATTCGATCCGTCCACTCTCTCTCTCTCTCTCGCTCTTTCGCGCACACTTCTCTTACCGTTCCGTTCAATTTTCCGCCGATTCGCTTATCTCAGCCATGCCCCGGCCCGTGGACTCGCAACGATGATAAAGTTAAATCAATTTCCAGTCGCGATCAATCTCGACGCCGCGATTTCTCCGCGCGGAGCACGAAAGCGACGAAGCGATCGGAGGGCGAGCAGTCTGCGCGTTCGATCTTTCCCGATCGACGAGCCGCGCTGCGAGCAACGGAGCGTCGACGTTCGACTCACCTACCTATGCGCCATGCGTGGAAATCATGGCTTCATTCATGCCAGACCGACCCTGACTCGCGTGCGTGTATCTGTGTCACGATACGCGAACGCAGACGCGTTCGAGCACTCCTTACTCCGCTTAGAAGAGAATGTCGCGCCGCGTCGGAGGATTCTGCGGCTCGCTTGTGCCAACGAACGAACGAACGAACGAACGAACGAACGAACGGCTCTGTTCGTCTTCTCGATTTCTCGCTGCCACGATTCCTCGACGCTGTTCGAGTCGCGGCAAGGTACGCGTAGGTTTCCGATTCGGTTCGCGTAGCCGCGTCGACCGCGCTCGATATCGGTGACTATCTAATCGGCTATCCAGCTATCCGATCGGATATCCAGGTGACGGGCTGTGGATCTCGATTCTCGGTACTCTGAGTAAGCGATTCCGAGTTTGTCGAGATAGTATCGGCAAAGGTCCCCCGATTCATCGGGGTACGCGTCAGCGGGCACGCGCGCGCGCGCGCTTGCGTGCTCATCGGATTTCGTGGAAACAGGCTACTCGGCGAGGTCGCGAGTCACACCGATTACTCTCTCTCTCTCTCTCTCTCTCTTTCTCGCCGTGTCTCGAGCGTAAATCGAATCGGCCTAGTCCGTACGTACGCGATTCCGAGACCGAGACCGAGACAGAGTCGAGAGCGAGTCGGGAGAGAACGGCGGAGGCAAAGTCTGCAGGTACGCGAGACCCGCGATTGGCATTCATTCCTATTGCCGTCGGAGCGAATGACGCGTTCGTGTTGGTGAGGCATTCGAATGCTCGTGCGAGCGCGCGAGCGCATGCGCCCGTACGCGGCCTGTACTCCGCTCGAAGAGAGAGGAGACCGAGAGACCAGCGATGGGACCGATTCGATCGCCGCCGCGCCGTATGGAAATTTTCGAGCGGCGACACACCGCCTGTCGCGCACCGCGTCGCCGCGATTCGCCGACATTTTTAGATCGTCCGATCGCCGATCACCGATCGCTCGTTACGCGTTGCACGGCGAAACCGCGAACCAGTTTCCGGACCCCTCTGTTACGCGAAATGGGACCCAAGCACTTTTCACGGACGCGGCTCCATTGTTTTGGTTCGCTCGAAGATAAGCAGGCTCCGAAGCGATTATTCGAACTAGAACGACGACTTCGGAGCGATCGGTCGATTAGATTTTCATCGAGATCGACGGGAACGGACGCTTTATTGTGCGGAAGACGAGAGATAAAGAGTAAACAAAATTGTGAAACAGATAGGAAACAAAAGAGCCGGGTAATAATACGGTGCGAAGAAAGAAGGAACAGATTTCGAACGATAATTGAAAAGACGGAGAGAAGGCCGATCGAAAGTCGATCCGAGATTAACCGCGGACTAGATAAAAGGTAGCTCGAGAGCCGACTTCGACGCGGCATCTGGCTTTCGTTGATTTCGAAAACGATCTCGCTTCATTTTCCTCGTTTCCTAGAAACTCTGAATGTCACGAGCGAGCATTATCGCGGCGCGGTGTGTGCGCGCCGCGCGATTTCAACCTCGGCATTACGGGCTGAGAAACGTGGAAACCGGGATCGCGCGGCGATAGGGAATCGATGATGTTATTCGCGCGAGCAAAACTAGTCGACTCGGCTCGACTCGAGCGGAGCGGAGTGCTCCCTCGGAATACCATTCACACCCAGGCGCATTCATAAGCAGTCGGAACAAGGCGAATACTTTCCGCGAAACTATGGACGGGCCCGCCTACGAGGTCGCCGTTCCCCTCGCCGATTGCGAGCTGCGTTCTGCGTTGCTGCGTTTCTGCGAGAGTGGAGAGAGACAGACGAGAGAGAGAGAGAGAGAGAGAGAGAGAAACAGAAGAGAGAGGCCGACCCCGAGGATCCGAGGTGGAAAGAAAACGCGGCTACACGCTCGACGACCACGTCGGCGTTGGCGTCCGCGTCCGCCGTGCCGCGCGCGGCTCGGAGCAGAGCGGAGCGGAGCGGAGCGGGCCGAGCCGTCACGAGCGGAAAGGTGGCGACCGTGTCCGGGGGCGACTTTCTCGCGCGCAACTTTCTACACCGGTAAATTTCATTCACTACTCGTCGGCCCGTGCCAGCTCGCAGCTCTATGAAAGCGTAGTGTGACTCAATCCACGCGACGAGTCACGCTCCGTGGATCCTCGGTCGCGTTTCCCTTCCGAGAGGCCCGCGAACGAGTCCGTCCGGCGTCGATTAAACGAGGGTTAAATACGCTTTCCTTTCGGTTAACCGGCCGTTTCCGAAACGAACGCGCGTGCAACGGAGGGAACCGGCCGCAGCCTCCGGTGTCCCGTGTCCCATGTCCCGTGTCCCATGGGCACACCACCGTGTACCGTGCAACCCTCGAAGCCGTGAAACCTTTTGTACGCGCCTTGCCCCCGACTGGTCTGCGCGCGTATTAGATTCCAGCCGAGACAATGGGGAGAAACCGGAAGCAGCTATACGCGAGCATCGATTCACGAGAAACTGGAAGACCGGTGGTATAATAGGAAACGGTTGGCTCGCGAGCGGATTTCCTAACGTTCAACGGAATTTTACTCTTTTTCTTTCACCGCGCGCGAAGCGACGATCGAAGAACGCGAGATTCGTCTAACAACGGTTCGACAGATTTTACGCGTTCGCATACGAGAGTTGGAAGAATAATTTGAAACCGTCGAGAAAGATAAGGAGAGTTCGCTCTCGCGGCTGAACGTCCGCCGTCGCGGCGATGCGTCCGTGTATACACAGCTGAACCGGAGGCTTTATGAATGGGATCGAGTCTGCGACGTTCGGACCGATCGCCGGCTGTGTTCGCGCAAGCGAAGTGCCACTTGGCGGTAGTTTCGATAAGAGAGCGAGCAGCGCACGGGTACGCGTATCCGGAAGCGCTTTCCCGCGGATAAGTGGAGCGCCGCCCTTTCGGCGGCTACGGTTCCCCGACTACGCGGCAGGGAAGACGAGGAATCGTCGCGCGGAGAACGCGACTTTGCTCGGTCCTCGGCGAACAATGCTTATAACTCGTTCGAAGGAACAACGAATAAATAAATATGTGTACTCACCGTTTCGACTAGGGGGCCGTGGAGGCGCAGGATACTGGGGCGGCGTCAAGGGTGGCGGCTGCGGCGACACTCGCGCAGACGAGGAGGTCGTTGAGCCTCGGAACGCCGGTCTAAGCGTCGTCGACGTGGTAGTCGTCGTAGCCGCCGTCGCTGTCAGCGAGGACGTGGTGGCGGTGGTGGTTGTGGTGGTGTTGCTGTTGGCGATGCGCTGCTGGCCGCTGTACCTCGAGGCGGTGCTGCTCGAGCTGTTCGACGGCCAGGGCGGGCGCCGCGGGGGCACCACCGGGGGCAGCTCGTAGTCCAAGGTATCCACACTTTCGGCACTTCCGGTTCACCTGTACCCTGCCACAGCGAGCTTCCTCTCTCTCTCCCTCTCTCTCTCTCTCTATCTCTGTCTCGACCGATTCTCCCTTCTCGACCGCTTGCTGATTTTTCCCGCTCACCTGTAGCTCCGGTATACGGGCGCGCACAAATTCATTCAACGTCTGTTCCGACGGATCAACGAGATTCCTCTCGTTCGCGCCCGCGAGACGAGCTTTCCCCACTGATACGTTTCACTGAAGCGATGGCGAAGATAAATCTCTCTCTCTCTCTCTCTCTTACTCTCTCTCTTTTTATCTCTCTCTCTCTCTCCCCGTCGCTTTTTCTCACTTGGTTCGCACTGGTCACCGGTCACCGGTCACACAACAACACGTAAACACAACGCTCGAGTTGTCGAAGCGTGGCAAGTTGACGCGCGCTTTAGCGAAACGGAACGAAACGGAACCGGCAACTCGTGTATGAACCGAGGAACAAGAAACTCCCGGTGGTCGATAATAATCCTGATGGCGATGCGGAGCACGGAATTTCACGATCGATTTCCGTGGCCGTGGAACGAAAGGCGGCACCCGGAGCAGACGGTGTGGCTCGACTACCGGCCGTGTACGAGAGCCCGGTCGAGAAAAACACGCGGCACGATGCGAGACGAGACGGGAGGACGCGAGGTTAGACGAGGTGAGGCGATGCGAGGCGAGGCAAAGGCAAGGCAAGGCGAGGCAAGACGAGGCGAGGCGAGGCGAGGCGAGGCAAGACGGGACGGGTTGGAACGGGACGAGACGAGACGAGATCGGACGAGACGAGACGAGACGAGACAGAAGGACAAGATCGGTGAACACACACCGCGGCTTCTTCTCGCGCACTGGCCACACACGGGGCTCTCTCTCGTCTCGTGGCAACGTATGCTGCTGCTGCTGCTGCTGCCTTGCTTGCCTGCTTGCTTACTCTGTTCCTACTCTGTATATCTCTCTTTCTCTCTCTCACTCTTCTTCCTTTCTCTCTTGCATCCGCTATGGGATGCGTACGACGAGTCAGAGCGAGAAACACGTAGGCTTACCGACGGAGAGAGAGAGGAAACCGAGGACCGAGCCGCGGCGGGAGACCGAGAGAGAGAGAGAGTGAGAGCGCGAGAGAAAGAGAGCCGACCGAATCTCGCGTAGGCTGTCTGCCAGTAAACAGGCTCCTTCATTCACTGCTTATTTTATACGGGCGGCCCCCTATATGCTCCACAGAAATAGCCACTTCTCGGTCTGTCCTTGTCGCGCGCACATGCCACGACCGGATATATGCTCCCGCTGCTGGTGCCGCCGTCGTCGTCGTCTCCGTCGTCGTTACCGCTGCCGCTGCTGTTGCCGCTGTCGTTGCCGTTGCTCTCCACCGGCGCACGGATCTCCTTCTTCCTCCTCCTTGCCTATCTCTCGGTCCCTCTCTCTCTGTCCCACCGCCTCCTCCTCGTTCGTGGATCCCCTTTCTCTCGCACTCTCGCATTCGTGTCACGCGGCTCGCACCTCCGACAACAGTACTGCCCTCCGTGCAAAACCGAAGAGTAGGAGGCCCACACCGGCGTTCTCCTTCTGGCGCATCCTTCTNGGCAACTCGTGTATGAACCGAGGAACAAGAAACTCCCGGTGGTCGATAATAATCCTGATGGCGATGCGGAGCACGGAATTTCACGATCGATTTCCGTGGCCGTGGAACGAAAGGCGGCACCCGGAGCAGACGGTGTGGCTCGACTACCGGCCGTGTACGAGAGCCCGGTCGAGAAAAACACGCGGCACGATGCGAGACGAGACGGGAGGACGCGAGGTTAGACGAGGTGAGGCGATGCGAGGCGAGGCAAAGGCAAGGCAAGGCGAGGCAAGACGAGGCGAGGCGAGGCGAGGCGAGGCAAGACGGGACGGGTTGGAACGGGACGAGACGAGACGAGATCGGACGAGACGAGACGAGACGAGACAGAAGGACAAGATCGGTGAACACACACCGCGGCTTCTTCTCGCGCACTGGCCACACACGGGGCTCTCTCTCGTCTCGTGGCAACGTATGCTGCTGCTGCTGCTGCTGCCTTGCTTGCCTGCTTGCTTACTCTGTTCCTACTCTGTATATCTCTCTTTCTCTCTCTCACTCTTCTTCCTTTCTCTCTTGCATCCGCTATGGGATGCGTACGACGAGTCAGAGCGAGAAACACGTAGGCTTACCGACGGAGAGAGAGAGGAAACCGAGGACCGAGCCGCGGCGGGAGACCGAGAGAGAGAGAGAGTGAGAGCGCGAGAGAAAGAGAGCCGACCGAATCTCGCGTAGGCTGTCTGCCAGTAAACAGGCTCCTTCATTCACTGCTTATTTTATACGGGCGGCCCCCTATATGCTCCACAGAAATAGCCACTTCTCGGTCTGTCCTTGTCGCGCGCACATGCCACGACCGGATATATGCTCCCGCTGCTGGTGCCGCCGTCGTCGTCGTCTCCGTCGTCGTTACCGCTGCCGCTGCTGTTGCCGCTGTCGTTGCCGTTGCTCTCCACCGGCGCACGGATCTCCTTCTTCCTCCTCCTTGCCTATCTCTCGGTCCCTCTCTCTCTGTCCCACCGCCTCCTCCTCGTTCGTGGATCCCCTTTCTCTCGCACTCTCGCATTCGTGTCACGCGGCTCGCACCTCCGACAACAGTACTGCCCTCCGTGCAAAACCGAAGAGTAGGAGGCCCACACCGGCGTTCTCCTTCTGGCGCATCCTTCTCTCTCTCTCTCTCTCTCTCTCTCTCTCTCTCGCTCTCTTTCTCTCTCGGTCTCGCTCTCTCTCTCACCCCTCTTGGTCCGTCCGTCTGTCTCTGGTGCGTGAACGCGTTCCTCTTGTTCCTTGTTCCTGTTCCTGTTCCTGTTCCCCTTCTTCGGACGTAAACTTTGCAGAACCGGATGCACACGCCTTCTTTCGCTTCTCTCTCCGTTATTTTTCGGAGCGAGACATCTTGCTCTCCCTCTTTCTCGTGTCACTGTCTGCTGCTGCTGCTGCTGCTGCTGCTGCTGCTGCTGCTGCCGCGGCGACACACGCGCACAGCACCGCGAGGAAACAACAGGTGCGTGATCGATAACCGGTGTTGCTGGCTTGCTGCTACCTTCCGTCGTTCGAGTCACCGCATCGGGAGAACACACGCCGACGGCAACTTTCGTTGCGACGGTCGCGTCACCGTCTTGCGGGAATCGCGTTTTCGAAATGTCCCACGCGGCTGGCGCGTAAATACCTCGGCACACACTGGTGAAACCCGAAGAATAAGGCGCTCGATTGTCGTCGGTCGATCCACGGCACGACGATGTTTCTCGATCGATCGGACGCTCGGCACTCCCGCGAACAACGAACGGATCCGTCGTGCGCCCGTGTTTCCAGTTACGCGCCCCGTAGTGCTCTCACTCGAGTTCACTGGTTTTCTCGAATGGCAAGCCTTCGCTCGTTCTCCCCCACCCCCCCGCCACGATCGCTCCGGCGAACACGGCGCAACTCACGTTCGCGACCCGCGCACAACCAACACGTACACACTGTTTTCGTGCACGCACACCGAACGATCTGGGTATTCGTGGCGCGCACGGTCTCTCCTCTCTCGTGTTAAGCGGAAAGAGAGTTGGAACGAGTTGGCTGGAAGCAAGAAAAAAAGAGACGAAACGACGAGACAGCCAGCTGGGGGATACGCAGGGGGATCAGGAGTCGAGGGAGAGGGGCGGAGAGAACAGAGACGGACGGAAGGTGGAGGGGAAGCGTGAACGACGATAGAGGGCGAGAGAGAGGGAGTGAGAGAGCGAGCGAGCGAGCGAATGAGAGAGAGAGAGAGAGAGAAAAGAAACAGGAAAGAAAAGAGAGAGAGAGGAAGAAAGACGGATAGAGAGGGTGGGAGCAACGATCGTCGTGCGAGAGAGAGAAAGAGGGAGAGAGAGAGGGAGAGAGACGAAAAAGTTCAGCTGGCCTCGGCGGCCATGCCGGTGTAGATCGTGCGAGAGCAGGCCAGGCGCGTACTATCCGAGCAACGGGGCCACCAGTCAATCGGTACGCGTCTTCTTCTTTTTCTTGTCTTTTCCCTCTTCCTCTCTCTCTCTCTCTCTCCTTTTTCCTGTTAAATTCCCTCGTCTCCGGATCACTTGTCTCTTCCTCGACGTATATACTCCCACGGGAGTCACAATAGTATCACCTACACGACACGATCCTCCTGCCGGCGACGGCGTGCGTCTCTCGATCTTGACCCGACGGCCGACGGATGCGATTCTAACCTCTTTCCGTCTCTTTCCCGCTGGTGCGTGCGCGCCGGGCGCCGATTCGGTTGTCCGTCGCGTTCACGTCGGTGCGTGTCCCTGTGCTGCCGGTCGACGCTCGGAACAATTACGCATCGTGATGTATATCCACCGGTTATCGGCTGTGTTTCGGTCGGCCCAGCCACCGCACATGACCAAAACTACTCTCTCTCTCTTTCTCTCTCTCTCTCTCTCTCGGAGTCTGAATCGGAATCGGAGTCGGAGGCCACGCGTTCAGTTGGCACGAGCGAGTGTCGCGCACATTCGAGACGCGATCGAATGGACGCGTTTCCTCGCGTCTCAGGATAACTGTCTCTGGAGTCTCGATTCTCTCGGCTCTCGGCAGCGAGTCCTCCTTTTTTTCAATTTTTTTAAGCGGCAGAGAGAGAGGGGGCGGGGGCGAGGGGGTGTCCGGATTCCGGAGGATTCGGCGGGGACGGGGGCGACTCCTCTCGTCCTCTCTCGCGTGCGCGTGCGACGGAACAGAAGGAAACCGAGCAACGACGCGCGCGCACTCGTGCACCTCTTTCCTTCCCTGTGTTGTGTATTCTATTCGGCAACGTGTCCGCAGCCCGGCGCTCGTTCTCCTTCGTTCTTTCTTTGCTACCGCGAATACCCGACTCGTATACCGTTCGTTCGTTGCAGCGGGAACGGTTGTGCGGGTCGTCGTATCTCGTCTCTCGTTTCGAGCCGAGACCGGCTGCGCTCACGCTGCTGTGGCGTTCTAGACTCTCCGCTCACCGCTCGTTGTCGTTACAAACAGCAAACAGCGCAGCACGGAGGAGCAGCGGCCTGTCGTATCCGTGGGTGGGGTGCCTCGAACCGCGCATGCGCCCCTCGATCCCTCGACCACACTCGCGTGTGCGCGCCTACACTCGCGTGCACGCACACACACGGT